CTTTGTACCTTTTAGCAATGTGAATGCTCACAGAGGTCCTTGTCAGGTGTTATGTTGACCTCAGGTAAAACTTATTGAGGACTCTGGGGACCTTAATCCAGAGTTAGTGATGTGGTGCTAAGGGAGGGAATTTCAGGCCAGGCATACTGATAGAGCTAAGCCACCAAGGGCCAAGAGAGAGCACTGGGTGCAGGTAGACCAGTATTTTAAGGTATTCCTTAAATCACACCTGCACTGTCACTGTTGGCCTCTCCCTAGGAATCACTATATAGATAGGAAACTGAAAAGAGAACATGAAGGAGAATCGGTGTATTTTTTTACCTAGCCCAGGTACCATGATAGAATTTAGCCTTGCTAACATAAAAATCAGTTTGGGATGTCTGGGTCACAAGCTTTTTGCTTTTCCTTCTCTTCTTTTTCCTCTTTTTCTTTTAATTTGCTTTTGATTTTTAAGAGAATCAATGTATTTTATTTTATAATGGGAAAACAGAATAATCTTTATTTGGAAAAAAAGAAGTATTTCACACTTATTTAAAACAGCATAGGAAATCCCCACCTCAAATAAGAAATCTGATGATCACTTTTGTAATATTTGAAAATAAACCAACTTTATTTGAATCAGTAAATACCAATCAAGACTGGGAAACAAATTTATAACTGGTTTAGTCATGTGAAAACACTCAGCAATATCTTCATTAAAAGGCAATTTACATTTATTAAGGCTTGAAAGCAAGTCCTGTTATTTTATCACCACAGTAAAGGTCTTGAGAAAATCAAGTAACCATCATTTGGAGTGTCTTTATAAAATGAAATGTTTGTTCTTTTATAAAAGCTAGGCATCTTTTGCTAAATTAGTTAACTTCCCAGCTTATAAAATGGAACAACCAGGTAGTCAGCAAAAGACAAATTCAAACATCAACTGGATATTTTATATTTTAAATAAATGCATAGTCAATATTGTGAAATCTCTAACTATACATAGAATACTTTAGATAATTGGATCCTTAAAACTATGTTATGTCAAAAAACAGATTACTTTTATAGAAACACAGATTAGCCCAAACCCTATATGAGGCAATATTTTATTTCATTTTTGGTTGAGGAGGGGAGCACTGGATCTATTTCCTTAAGTAATATTAAATAAAATCATACACACTTTGGATCATACTTAATTATGAAATATCCTGAAACTAAGCTGAGAGAAGAATATTGACAAAGGGAGAGGAGCATGCATTCATGAGGAGGGCACATGTTGTTTGGTTTGAATGCTAAAGAGCATTGGATAGAAGACAACTGGCCTTGTGTGCAAAAAGGGCCCCAAGGCCAATGATGTGACCACATTTCCCTAATATCAGAACCGGGATGCTTCACAGGCACACTTCTGTCTCTAATGCTTAAGATTCATACAATGTCATACAAAAAAATAAGGAAGTGATCCTTTGGGAATCATTGAACTTAGCTTTAACCATGAGTTAATGCTTCATCTTTCTAATAAGGGGAACGCCAGCATTTTGATTTGCTCTGCTATTGAAATGGCTCCTGGCCAGTGGGAATAGGGATAAGTCATAGAAGTACCCAGTGGATATCTGCTGTCACTAGACCAGTTTAATTTTAGACACAGACTTACTGGTTTCTCACAATGGAAAACTCTAACTAGATAGCCCTGTACCTTCCTGACTCTACCTCCCTTTTACTTCCATTTGTCCAGGTCTTGCTGATTCCTGGGACTCACATCTTCGGGGTCTATTTTAGGCGGTGATCCATTTTGTGACAATTCTAAGATGCTTGGTATTGTCTGTCTGTAGAATGGCCAATGCGCACAGGTGTTGTGAAGAGGTTTTGTTGTTTCATTTGACAACTGCTAGAAAACGTAGCCCAGGAAACATCACTCTTGACGTAATCTTTCTCTAATGAAAAACCAAGATCCTTGCTGGCTCCACCAGCAGGAGAAATGAAGACTGAGGACAGTGGCATTTCCTGGGAAGCTGAAACTAGTCTGAGATTGTGTGGCCAAATAAACTGATTGAGTGTATTTTTCACTTTTCAACTCATTAGTTTGGTGCCAGGGAGCCATATCCCTTGTTCAAAATAAGATAGTCACACTCATGCCTGTGATTCTGAATTGTCAGGCATTTGACTTCCTTTGTCAAGAGATGAGGCACACAATAGAAGGATATGCTCTAGAACGATCCAGATTTTACTTCTCCAGCTCATCTTTTACAGCTATTAAAATCTTATCCAATACCTTCTTCTGAGCCAAGCTGAGAGGTAGGCAGTACTGAATAGAGGAGTAAATTCAACGCAGTCACTCTGAATTTGATTCTTCCTTCTGCCTCTGCCTCCCACTACACTACCTCACAAAAAATAGTGACATGAAAGTCAGAGGAGAGAAATAAATCCAAAATAAAATAGGATCTCCACCCAAATAAATCCCCTTTCAGTGCCACTGAAATGCTTTCTGAGTCATCAATATTCACTCAAGACCAATGTCAAGGGGTCTTAAAACTCTGGAGTGTGGGGTCCAAACTGCAAACCTTCAATACTCCATGCGTTGGTTCTGGGGACACCTCAGGACCTCACCACACTGTTGCTGGGAAATGAGTTGCTGTGTATGTGACAAGGTTATGGCCAAAAGCCAGGGAGCCTGAAGGACCTGGAGAAAAATCTCTTTTGAAAAAAATTCAGAAGGTAATATTATTGTTATCTAAAAATACTCTGATAAATCTGGTCGTCAGACATTAAAGCTCTAAGTCGATAGTCAGTGGCATTATATGATAACCTACAGTTGAAATGAAAAGATATTCTCAAAAGAAGTACCCGGAAGTGCCTTCTATTTGTAACTCCACCTTCTCTTTTAAATGCTTACAGCCGATCATATAAGTGCCTCCTCCAGTGCCATAATATTGTTATTTATGTAAAACTAACTCAACCACAGAAGGAACATCTAGAAACAACAATATTGATTTGGTTTGGCTTGTTTGTTTTTAAAGACTGTTTTTAAAGACTCGCTAATTGCTGAATTCTGAATATCAAATCAGAGTCCTTAGTATCCAGTAACTTCTCTAGGGGAGCCACTCCCCGGGCGTCCTTTTGTTTTCTGTGTCACACTGGCATGCGACACGGAAGTGCTTCAAGAACACTACCCTGTGGGTCTCGAGAAAGTGAACTGCCTCTTAGGTCATCGCGCTTGTGCTGTTAGATTCAGGGAAGGACTTCCCAGGAGGACAACAGGACTTTACACTAATCAAAAGGCCTTTGGGATCATTCAAGTTTTCATCTCCCAGGAGGCCACTTTGGGGCCTTTCACTACAGAAAAAGGACTGTTTCCTCACCAGCTCTCCTTTTTAAACATCTCCAGAGACTAAGTTTCCAGGGAGTCAACGGAAAGGTTTCTTTAGAAGTGGAAATGAATCAACTCCTTCTGCCTTTGCAAAGCTCTCGGGCTTATAAAATGTTCTGAGAAATTTCCTCTCCCTCAATGGGCTACAGGAGACCTCTGCTTCCTCCTTCTGCTCTGATCAATGGGTCACTTTTTTTATTCAGAGATCCCAGGAGGCAGGTAGGTCTGGAGAGTGCCGGGGTTAGAATTTGTTGATGTTTCTATGGAAAGGACCGTGCTGTCCTGCCCTCGCTGAGCAATGAGCCAAGTCCTGGGGCTTTCCGGCACTTGGGAGCCTCACCCTGGAGCAGCACGCAACACAGAAGGAAGGATTGTTGAAGGTGAGGGTCTATGGCTGTGGCGGGTGGATTTTCTCATAGGGCGTTCACTGGGAGAGGGGGCCGATGATTAGTTCATTTTTCTTAGTTTCCTCTGCACAGGTCCCCATGCTCCAGTGGGGTAAGCTTTTAAGGAGGTGAAACTCAAGGAGAAAGTCTAAGGAGTGAAATACTAGCTAAAAAAAGTTCCCTTGTTTTCATCTGGCAGTTGAGTCAGATGGTAGGAAAATGAACCTAGATGGGCGTATATTTTTCTTTGAGTTCTAACCACATGGTTTCCCAGTCAGAAAGGCCCATGGACTTTCTTCCTAAGGTCTTCCATGATCATGCCACCTCCTAAATGGATCTCTTGCCCATCAGAGGCTGCAGCTGAATCAGCCATGAGTGGCTGTCCGAGAGCACCCAGCTAGCAGACCTGCATCCAGAAACAACTTAAAGAGACTGGAAAGTCATTTTTGGCCAATTCTTGCATTTTTGCTATAAGGTTGGTAGTTACATGACATCAGCAGTTCAAGACTTAGTTAGATCATGACAGAAAAGACCTGTCTTAAAGATTCCCAGGGAACATTGAGCCTCATAAAGAACTTCTTTATCTTCACTCATCCCTCCACCTCCCCCCATCTGCTTTCTCACAGACCAAAATTCACTCACAGGTAAATATAGTCAAACCCAGGCAGGTAATCTCCAATGAAATAGCTACCCTAAGCGAGCACACTTCGTGGCTGGTAGGCCCCTGTGGGCCTTTTGGCATCGACATTGCTCCCCTCCCCTCCCTTCCCAGTCACCCCACTTTGAATCGCATGCCAATTTCCTTTCCTGGCAAGGCCTGGACAGCATAGAAACGGAGGTCATCATCAGCCAGGTGCGCCACGGCATCGCAGCCTTCATGGCACTGCAGCAAACTGAGACCGTGTCTGAGTGGTTTGCCAATCTGGCCTTCAGTGCCCAAGGGGACCGGAGTGTCAGAAATTAGTGAGTGACTGAAGGTGTGCCTGCCAGACGCCAAAGTCCACAGGCTGCTCCGTCTTCTCCGTTCACTCTCTCTGTCGCCCCCAACAGCAGTGGATCTCTGTCTAGTAAGAACTAAGATGGCATTTGTCCTGGGCCGTGGAGTTACTGACAGAGAGGAGGGTGGAAGAGGACACGGTGTTGCAGGTTCCTAACACATCTGAGATAGTTTGACATTGGCAGAAGGGACCAGCGACAATCCCATATCTGGATTCTCCAACACTGAGCCCCCGAATACGCTGAACCCAGACCAGGCCCAAAGGCTGCGAGCTTGACTATTTCTATCATTTCTGCTTGCAGATTCCTGCATAATCAGGTGGGGTTGGCGCTGACATTCATAAAAGACAGCAACCTGGAGTTTCGATGATGCCAGCAAGATGTGACCTGATGAAAACAAATGTTTCCCGAGGCGATGCGGAAGAGGAGCCTGTGAAGCCGGAGTCCTTCGGGGGAAGGTGAGTTCTTCTGCAGCGGGGGCGGGGCAAGACGGCCGACTCAGGATCGGCTGAGGCGCTTGGCGACGTCGGCGTAGGCCAACTCGATCTCTTTGTCTGCTGCACAGGTGTTGGTGAACTCGTCCCTGGCATAGGCGTTCTTGAGGTACCGCCAAAGGCCTGTCATCTCAGCCGGGAAGTCGTAGTTGCGGTATTTCTTGGCCACGATCTACGACAGAGGTGACAGAACAGAGAGGGTGTGAAGGCATGAAGCAAATCATTGAGAAGGTGTTAGTGGCCTGACCCAGGGTGTGTACACAGCAGGAAAACCCTCCATGCGTCACACGGGCCATCAGCATAATGTCTGTAATGCAAGGTGGCAATGCTGCTTTCTTTTTCTTTTCTTTTCTATTTCTTAAACAAATACAATTTGCCCTTTGACCAAGTGATTCTGCTTCCAGGGATTTTTTTCTGAGGAAATAATCATGGATGTACACAAAGATTTAGCTACACATATATGATCACAGGACTATTCGGAATAGCAAAAAATGGTATGTGACACATATATCCAACACTACGTGAATGGATAAACACATTATCATACATAAACATAAAGGCATACTGGGGAACCACTAAAAACGATGCTGCAGAGGAAATTCCTGTGATCTTGAAAACTCTTCAAGATAGAGCATTAGATTTAATGTGCAGTATAACGCATCTGGAGAAATACATATGCTGACTAGACATACGTATACCAATATCTTACCAGCGGTTATGTCTGACTGATAGAATCATAGACAATTTTTTTTCTTTTTTCCCTTATCCACTTTGTTTTCCGTAAGCATCCTTATTTACAGAAAGGGATGCAAAGCATAAAAAGTTAAGTTAGATGTTGGCACGTACATGTAGGTTCAGGGTATGATGTGGGAGTGAACAAATAGTGATTTCTATTCTCTCTGTAGTTTGCCACACTTGGGGGCTGTGGACTTGGGCGTTCTGGGGAAATGGCGTTTGTGTCGAGAGAAACAGTAGTGTAGTGGTCAAAAGCATGGCTTTCAATTGCAACTGACTAGATCTGAAATCCTGACTCTACTACTTAACAACTGTGTGACCTTGGACTAGTTGCTTAACCTCTCTGAGCCCCAATTTCTTTATCTCTAAAATGGAGGTAATAATATGACCTACCTTGGAGTAATAAATTAGTTAATACACATATAATATTTAGAGGGGTGGCTGGTTTGTACTAAGTGCTCAAGAAACATTACCTATTATTATAATTCATTGAGACCCACATTTGCCCATTTGCATGCATTCCTTCATAGGTATGGGGCAGGGTGGGCTCTTGACTAAGGTCTTTTTAGCCAGGGAGGGCTTCAAAGACGTGTGACCTGTGCAGTCACATGGGGCCTCGACCTCAGAAAGGTCCTGCTCTTGAGTTAATGCTCTGCCATCAACATCCGGAAATTCTGAATACTCTTTTCACAGGGGCCTCTGTATTTTCCCTGTGCACTAGGCCCTGCACATTAGCTAGTCTTGCCTCTAGACCTTGGGGACCAGGGTGGGGATCGCAAAAAGTAGCCTGTCTCCTGAAGCACTGACTTCTGACTCCTTCCCTTGCTTTCTTTTCAGAGAGGTCTCCAGACCGCTGGCCCTGGGCTCCTCCGACTCAGGGAACCTCCCAGAGCAGCCTCTCTGGGCTTTCATCCTCATTCAGGGGCCAGTGATGTGTGGGGTTCCCTGGAAAGTGGTGCTGAGTGACGGACCACGATGATCTATTGCATGAGAAGCTCGGTCTCATAGACGCACCACATCGCCAAGGAGGATGCATTTCGCCCTCCATCCTCCTCCATCAGTTCTGAACTTCTGTTATAACGCTAAGCTCCATTCTACTCAGAATCGCAGTTACTGCCCAGTATCCTTTCCCTCTTCCTTCGCTTGTGAGCAGTAGAAGGACAGGAACGGCAGCTTCTTCGTCTCTGTACCCCTCGATGATCCCAGTCATGCCGTTGACAAGGGTGGTGACAACAGCAAACATCTATTTACTATGGGCTCTGCCCCAGCACTGCTTTAAGTGCTTTGCAAACTACTTAAATCTCTAAATAACTCCGTAAGGAAGAGTGAGTTATAGTCCCATTTTACACATGAGAAAAGCAAGGCAAAGAGAGAGGTTAAATAAGTAGGGATTCGATAACAGCTGTATTTAGTCTTTACCACCCTCAGTTATCCTATCAGACAAAGTGCATCCAGTGTCAAATGTAATAACATCATTTAATTTTAAAGACTGATGATCCCTGGCAATGAGCAAACGGAAGCCACAGAGTTGTAGTGGCTTACACAATGTGACACAGGAAAATAATTAATTCAACCAATATCTATTGAGTAATCGCTAATGTTTACTACAGTCCTGGCTTCCTAATCCACAGTTCTTTCCACTTTGCTGCTCAGCCATATGTAAATGATAAATGAACAGCTCTACTCAGAACCCCTCCTGTGCCAGTGATTTAGCTATCGTTGCTTATTTCCAAATCTACCCTCATATTTGTTTTTTTGTGACGCTGGGCCTGGGACTGTGCAAACCACACCTCTGTTTTGCCAGCCACTCCCTATTAGGCTCCGCCAAGAGGGGGCGCGAGAGAGAGCCTGCAGGGCTGGAGGAGGGAGGAGGCACATGCCCCTTCCTGTCCACTTCCTCTTCCTGCCAGAGTCTCCTTTGCTCCAGTAAGAGCAGGGGACTTCAGTTTGCCTTTTGCCAAGACTGGCAGAACCAATGTCATCACACCAGCTCAGAGAGGCCAGCACGCAACAGTGACCTTGCTGCAGATGTTGGGTCCCAGCCCCAAGGGCCCCCATCTGAACATGGGCCCCAGCAGCAGTTAAGCAGCACTCCACCTCGGAGGTCCGAGGTTCAGCTCTGCGGGGCCGCTCATCTAGTTTCTAAGTTTTGACAATTCCACCCTCTTCCCTTTGCCCCCCTGCCCTAAGGGTAGTAACTGCTCCTGAAAGTGGAACCTCTGTTCTTCAGTACTTAGTACTTCTTTATATAAATTCTCTCCATTAAAATAACTGGTTTGATGTGGTCACCAGCAGAGCCACCCCCACAATGTTCTGTCCACCTTCGCTGTGGCTAATAGGCAAAGGTGATGGAAACAGAGTCGGTTAGCAGAGCACTCGCCACAAGCAAACGCTGGGGCCTATGCCCACTGTCAGTTGTCCCTGGTCTCCCTCTGTTGACTGCAAGGTGAAGGTCCCTTGGGTTTGCCCAAGAGCCTTCGAGAAGAGGCCGTCTTGGCTATTGAGCAAATCCAGGCAGGAGTGGTGATTAAAAAAGTAGCTTCAAGTCTCTCCATGCTAGAATCTATTATCAAATTTTTAAAGGATATAAAATGAGCCTTAAAACAGCAGAAACACAATTTATGAATATATATTTGTGTTTATATCTCCCTTCCAGTTCGCTTTAGAGGCTGAACAGGTCACTGTGCTAGGTGAGGGTTCCAGTGGCGGCTAGAAAGGCTCACCGTGCCCCTTCCTGCTCGGATCTGTGCACCCTGAGCCTTGGCCACAGAGCCTGTTTTTGCTCACAGTTGGCTTGACTCGGGCAGATGAGAACTAGAAGGGAGCCAGACAATGAAAGTTCAAACCAGGCTCTCAGTGAGTGCCCGGGCCTGAGCAACTCAGCTTCAACGGATGAAGATGAATCTGAAAGAGAGCCAGGAGAGAGACAGAGAGCAAAAGAGCAAGGATGTGCACACAAAGCCGTGACGTTTGCAGGAACTTCCATGCTCATGTTCTGAATTCACTCTTTCATATGAAAACAGTTAGCTCCCACAGCCCAGATTAAGTTTTGGCGTCGGATGCCAAACTGAAGGCTTGACTTGGCTTCCCCTTGGCTCTTTCTGCACTGCAGAAGTTTGCCAGGTCTCTGGGATCTGATAAGCTGGATCAGCAGAAATCCAAGGAGACAGGAGGTGAGGCCCAGCCCTTGTCCGCTCGCAGGCCATCCTCCTTCTGATCCTCAGCTTCTCCCAGTGAACAACTCTCTGAACTTCATCCAAGGACAGGAGCGTAACTTAGTCATCTAGGACTGGGAAGAACTGGAGGAATCATAGGATGAGCCCCTGGCCTGGGAGATCCATTTGTTTACCTTCTTCAATAAGCGATTTTTGAGTGGGTCGTCAACCCATGTTTGTGAGAAGAAAGAAGGAGGGAAAGAAGAGAGGATAAAGAAGCAAGAAGGAGTATAATCCACGTCTTGTAGGCATAAGAAAAGTGAATTCCAAAAAGATTGAATGACCTGCCCCAGCTCATGCTGCTAGTTGGTGGCAGATATAGGACTACAACTTGGATCTCCTGACTTCCAGAAGGACAGTCTTTCCATTACGTCTCTCTGACACAGTGTGACTGAACTAGAATCGTATCGTCCCTAATGGTGACCCTTGTTCCTCAGGAAAAGAGAATGAAGGATGTTTCAGGGGTGCATTGGGGCGTGCACTAACTAACAACTTCAAAGAGTTATAGCTTGGCTGGACCTATAAGTGACCAATGGCTTGGCCTCAAACCCAAAGTGTCTTCATATTAATAGGTTGTATTTGCCCAGCCCGTCAGCACTGGCATGCGTGATTCCCTCCCAGTCTTCAGCTCTGACCGAGGCCCATGGGAACACCAGTGTATGCACAGCTAAGATTTCAGCTCAAGCTGGTGGGTGCTCTGATTGGAGGGAAGCCTGTATTTCTAGCCTAGGACTTCAGCTGAAAAAGATAGGCAGATATTCAACTGATAAATGATTGAACCTGATTCTTCTCAGTGAAGGGTCGAAAGAAACTGGGTATCATAGAGACGCAAGCTAGGTGATCAAATGGTCACTCAATTAGCATTTATTAAAGGGCCACCATGTACCCACCATCATGCTTGGAGAAGTCCCTATCCTCACAGAGCTTATTGTCCGACTGAGATAATAGATACAAACAAGCAAAAGTAAGGCAATCTAACTCTCCAGTCCCACTGTATTTTTCTCTAGGCTGGTGAGGGGGCAGGAAAGGGTGTGAGAAGAAGTGTTAGTTTAGAGGAGTTTTAGTTTAGAGGAGTTTGGGAGATACAACTGCTGTCTCCAAATGAGATGAAAGAGAGCAGCCCTATTCCGTGTTGCTCCAGAGAACAAAGGGTAGCAGGGTAGCACCGAGGTCCATTTGGGCTCAGTATAAGGAGAATGTTTTGTTAATCAGAGCTGTCCAAAATGACAGGGCTGGCTCGTTAGGCAGAGGGCTCTTCATCACCAGAAATGTGCAGTCACCACGGCACAGAAGCCTGTCACAGACACACAGAAAGTGGCCCAGTTTGGGGTGGGAGATTGTTTTGGATGACCCTGGAATTCCCTTCTTTCCAGCTCTCAGATCCTAAGATTTGTAAAGGAAAGGATTACACTGTATGTCAACGATGGTCAGTAAGCGCAATGATAGCAAGAAAATGACGTCACCTCTTGCAGCCTCCAGCTCTTCAACTGACAGTTGAGGAAGGTGGTGCCTGCCCTAGGGAGTGGCTGGAAGGTATGAGAAGGTGGGTCTGCACACAAAGCAAATGTGCATATGAGGGCACACTTAATAGAGAGGTTGGGGTGTGGCCAGTGAGAACCTACAGGAAGAGGCCTTTGGAGTGCTATGACTGTATCTAACCACGTATGATACAACAATAGCAACCACTATACATTGAGCCCTTACAATATGTCAGGCACTTGCACGCCATCTTACTCTCCCAGCAACCCTAGGAGTGAGCAATATATGCCTATCTTACAGGTGAAAGCTGAACCTCAGAGACTCTATACAGCCAGCACGCAGTGGAGGCTACTTTGGTCCCTATTGGTGTGACTTCAGAGCCTGGCCTCTTGGTCAGCAGGTGGCACAGTCCTTGACTCATCCACACAGGTGACCCTGGCCTGAGATGGTGCTGGGTCTGGCGAGCACCCGTGGGTAGAGATCTCTCACCTTGACCACATGGAGCTTGGGCAATAGATTGCAGTCGGCCAGGGTCAGCTCGTCCCCATCCAGGAACTTGCGCCGGGACCCCTTGTCATGGTCCCCGCGAGTGTTGGCGTCGATCTCCTCTGGCAGAGGGGTGTTCAGGTAGTCATCAAGCTTCTTCAGTGCCTTGGTCAGGCCTCTCTCAAGGGCTGGCATGGAACAGCAAAAGAAGTGTCTTTAGTCAACCTTCTTGCCACTGGATACAGCCACAGGGTCCTCAGAGTAAAGTAGCTTATCCCGAATCCTGTCCCCCTCATCACACTGCCAGCCCCCCACCCAGTACAGACTACCTGGCAGCCACGAACACAGTCAGTAGAAGAGTTCAAATGGCCTGAAAAAGCAGACCTTAACCAAACAATAAACACTAGCTAATCCTTTTTCTGAAAAAAAAAATATAAATATAGCAACGCAACCATTAGGATATATATCAAAGCTTTTATAGTGCTTATCTCCAGCAGATGCAATAATAATAGTCATCTTTCACTTTCTTTTTTGCTTATCTACATTTTGCCAATATTCCATAATTACCCCATATAATAATTTTGTAGAAAGAAAGGACTATTAAATAAGTAAATAACAACTGCCTAGAAGTCCTAGGACAGAGATATGCACCAGATTTTGTGGAAGCATTAACTAACCCAATCTGCGAAGTGGCAGGGACAAGACTTCAGGAGGACACGACACAGGAAAGTGAGTGGCCCTGTTTGGTGTTGCCCTTAGAAAACCAATGGGTATCAGAGGGGCATCCTTGAGTTTAATCCAGAGACGTTTGTTCTAAAAATCAGAGCTGTCTCAAATGGAAGGGCCAGTGCACCAGGCGGTGGGCTCCCCCAGGAATGTGCAATCTCAACTGCATGGAAAGCTATCATGGATACAGCTCCAAGAATATATATCCAGAGAAAGATAATGTGGCAGAAGACTTTTCCATTCTCGTCCCAATAACTGTCTATCCAATAATTCATTGAGGCACAAGAGCAGAACAAAATGCTCAAAAGAACAACTGCTGAAAGTCACTCACTCAGAGTCATTCCACCCAGAATCGCAGAGTCCATTCCAGTCACAGAACATGAACACAGAAACCGTCCACCTGGGCTTGGAGGGCAGAGGAGGAGGAGATGCTGGCCGGGTCATTAGCCACTGCACCTGTGTCATCAGCTGCATCCCCAACAGCTGTTTTTCCCAGACTCTGGCTTGGGGCGCGACACTGAGATAATGGGAATCAGTCCTGGGGTTAATTCCAGCAGAAAAAGGGGGATTCTGCCCCAGAGTACAGTATAGACGACTGTACTCTGGTTCAGATTTTCCCCAATGTGCCTCCTGTTAGCCATTCCTCACATCACCCGCGTTTGTCTTTTCATAGAAGGCCTTTTGTTTGAGACAATGAAATGACACCAGCCCAAGATAAATCAATTGAACGCTTACTGGAATGTTTGGAAACAGGCTGGAGGTTGGACATAGTTTCTCAATACTTCCTTCTCCCTGGTGTGGCATTTGAACTTGTACTTCATCATCTGCTTTGTGTTTTCAGTTTGAGAGAATAGACTGAGCAGGGCTGGGAAAAATGCTTGTATTCCCCTTAGTAATTGTCTAGACTGGGACGGAATTGCAAGCCTATTCAACGGCAACAGCAGAGGGTGGGTACGAAACAATACTTATTATGCTCCTATTCCCACCGAGGCACTTGGGATTTATATGGAGTTTGTGCGCTTCCTCAAATCCCTCTACCCCCTTCAGTTATGGAGATTATGACAAAATCTTGATTATAATGGAGAGAGGAAAAGTCAAATAGAGTGCCTGTTGAAACCTGACGGACTAATATCATCCAAAGGAAAGACATATATGATGGGAAATGAGATGCTGCGGGTTCTAATTCCAAATGCCCCTTGGAGACCTGGGCGGGCCACTGCACAAGTCTGTGCCAAGTTACCCAGTCTGGGAACTAGCATAAAATTTAGTAAAAGAGGCCTAGAACAGCCACTGAAGCTCCTTGGGAGGATAGTTCTGGATAAGCGTCAACGATCTCTCTAGTGATCTCTGGAGACGGAACGATCAAGTTTGCCAACAGGCATGGTCGTTGCCTTATGTCATACTTGCAACACACCATGTTACATACCAAGTCGGCATGTTCTGAGGATGTCCTTTCTGTGTCGGTCTCATCACTCCGTTTGTGTATTTTTGATCAGGAATGTGAAGGTCGCAGTTGGTGATAATCATAGCAGAGAGAAGAGGAGCCAAGGGCAGGGAAGGGGCCACGGGGCCTGGAGCTAACTCTGTGTTTAAATTTTGACTTTTCTCAGGGTAGATTTACTGCAACGCTGCTGAGATTTAAGCTTCAAGTTCCCCTAATGGCATGGGCCCCTTCCAAGGCCTTGAACTTGAGTTTTAAAATTCCTTATTCGTATTTATTGCGTTGGCTTCAGACCCCACAAATCCCGGAAACGTCCCTAATCCCAGCACTTACTAAGTGGGACCTTGGGCAAGTTCCTCAGTTTCACTAAGCTTCAGTCTTCTCCTCTCAGCTATGGGACTAAGGATCCCTACCCTCATACGGCCATTGTGAGGATTAACTCAGGTTATGCAGGTACAGTGCCTCCCACAGCGCCTGGCCCATACTAGGGCATCAATCAATGCTATCTATTGCTATTGCATTTCCAAATGTGGCGGTCATCCTGCTCTCTGTCCCTCACCCCATACCCTTGGTCAGTATATTCCTCAAAAATCCAAGGTGTGGCAGAGAATGAGAGATTCTAAGGAGCTCCAATTCCGAGGCCCAGTCTCTAGAGGAGGAAATTAACAGCCTGGAGCTTTGCTTCTCTTCTTGATTTAATGTACAGACACAGCCCTATCCCTTATGCTCCCTTGGGATCCTTCTCAGTGACGAGCTGTGTTGAGAGGCACGGCCAGAGGGAAATAGACACAATACGCCTGTGTGCTAACACACTGTCATATTATCGAATAACAAATGCCAGCACCAATACATTCTCTGCCAATTCTTTTCCCTCCTATCTGCCAACTCATTCCTCTGACCCTGGCTCAATCTGGCATACATAGAATTTAATTATCTCTTTTGGCCGACGGCACCCAGGTCATGAAAACATTGGTGTCGAACTTTCTGCTCTGGTAAGAGTGAGGGGGATGTGAAAGAAACCAGAATGACAAGAAGATGTTAATTTCTTCAGTGGTCGCATCTGAAACCCTCCTTCCAAAAGACTTCGTCTGAGTAGCAGGACGGGGTAACCCTCAGATCACAGCAAGGAAGCCTGAGACCAGGGGACCCAGAGACACAGGATCACTAACATCCCAGGCTCTTGATGGATACCCAGGCCTTTCCCTGCTTTCTTCCTCTCTCCACTCCACCCTTCCCATAAAGATTTATTCCGTACCACACACAAATGCGCTGGGTAAAATATGGGATGAGGAAACAAGGGGAATAGTTCATAAATATTCTCAGCCATATGCAAACAATCTCAAATTTATTTTTCTCTTTTTTAAGGAGGAAAAAAAAATCCACCCATTCCATGATCGCTTCCAGATTCATTGAGGTTGATATTACATAAGACCCAATATTGTTTTCTCGTCGTAGAGAAATAATGACTTGGAAACGGCAATTTGAGCTAAGAAAATAATATACTCTTACCAGGGCATGGAGACTGAATGGGGACCAGGGAGCCAAGACTCCCGCTCAGCCTCCAACAAGCTCCTGCAAGCACGGCTCAGGCCTGGTTTGCTGGCATGCTTTGTGCAGCAGTCGTACTGATCAGCATACAGCCACGCAGACCCCTTGGGCTCAAAATCCCCGTGAAGTGGGACCAGGTCAAAGGTGCTCTTTGAAAGGACAGGAGCAGCTCTGTGGGTCCAGGTTGCTGTACTCAATTCCACATGTGTGGTTTCTTCTCCAGCATGTGAACTTGCAGAGAGATAAGAACCAGGGGTCCACCTCTGCTGACCTCTGCAGCCTGGATGGGGGCCTGTTCAGCTCTCCCGTGGAGAAGGAGATCGTGGCTACTGGGGGCTGGCCCCAGGCCAAGCACCCTTTGCCCTGCTGTGTTCCTTTCATGGCTCTAATCCTGTTTCCCAGCACTAGCAAGAAATACAATTCTGAATTTCAGAAGTGGTCCAGGGATGTTTATGCCACCTATCATTTATATACACAACGAAGCTATTGAGATGGGAATTATTATTCTTCCCATTGAACAGATAAAGAAATTGAGTCTTAGACTTATCCAAGTCTACACCCGCATGTGCAAGCACACACATAAGTCATTCAAACTACACCTGGGATGTACAATGAGAATGTACCTTATTTTGTTGCTGTGGTCTTCCTTATAAGCTCCCAACTCCTGGGTAACGGGAAAACAACAACTTTAACCCATTCTGGATTAGAACTTAGTCTGATGTACCAATCTAAATAGTTCCTCTAGGGAATTCTCAGTCTCTTTTGCATAAAAATATTCAGTTTCTCAGAAAGCCTCCTTCTCTGCTCTTCTCTCTGAGTAAATGCAGGTGGGAGGGAGGAGGCTCCTGTGACCTCCTGGCACTGGGGAGATGGGAGTCTTGGGATCTGTGGGGTGGAAGGCTTGGGGAAGCTACTACAGGTCCTGCATCTCTTCTCAGTTACATTGAACCTCCACTCCTTCCAGAGTAACCATGGGGATGTTCACCCTAGGCTGGTGGTCAGAGGTGGGCTGGTGGTCAGAGGTGGGCTGCTGGCCTTCCTCCAAAGCCCTGGCAGGATACCCACGCAAAGCACCAAATGGCACATCTCTAGTTCCCTGACCCCTCTGCCTCTCTCTTCTCCTTCATCCCCAAATCCCCTGGGCCAGAAGGGGTGGCTTTCCTTTTCACTTTTCTATGTCAAATGGTCCCTCAACCACAGAGCAGCAAGGCTCCCTGCAAGGCTGCTGCACAGGCAGAGGGCTATCTCTTCTCTGTAAGCTAAGTCCTCCAGGCATGGTTCTCGATGTGCTAAAATTGAGAGAGAAAGGAATTTAGAAAACTTTAAGACAATAGCTTGGCTTGCAAAGCTACTGTTTTGCTGAAAATGCTATTTTGAATATTAGAAGCTAAATATTGAATTCCTTTTTCTTTCTTAGAATTCCTTCTATAGAAATCCTCATCTCTCATGGGGCCAATGGATGCCTAGGACAGA